CACAATGGAGTATTATTCAGTTGTAAAGAATGACTATGACTTTTGCTGGTAAATGGATGGATCTGGAAACTATCATGCTAAATGAAATAGTCCAATTCCCCCAAGTCAAAGCTTGAATGTTTTTGCTGATGTGTGGAAGCTAACGCACAATGAAGATGAGTGAAGGGAAGCAGAGAAGTTCAGTAGATTAGACAAAGGGGAATGAAAGGAAGGGAGTTGGGATAGGAATAGGAAAGACAGTAGAATACACCTAACATATTTTTTCTAAATACGTATATTAAAATATCTAAGTGAATTCCACCACTGTGCCCATACACAAGAATAGGGTCTTAATTAGCATAAGATATATTCTATCCTTATAAAATTTTATCAAAATACAGTCTGCTCTCATTTATAACTAAGTAGACCCAATTTTAAAAAGATGTAAACTGAGATTTCAGAAAATAAAGATGAGATTCATATAAAATTAGAATTTGAAAGCAAATCAATTCTTTAGATGACATGACACGATGAAAATTGTTATAATTCAAAATGAAATTGTCATTGCCAGAATTGCTGTATACTGTGGAATAAAGTGCCTGAGACAAACAATGATTGATCTGAGTTCACATATATTTCTACTTTCACACTGGGAAGGCACTCCTGGGAGATACAATTGAAAATTACAATAAGAAGTAAATTTACCAAGGATGCAGATATATAAATCTCCCAGTCAAGTTACCTGGAAATATTCCTTGATACAGTTATAGGGAATGTGAGTTATGCCCCAGGGCCTGATATGTGAACACTTTCATTTGAGTGTGAGGATTCATTTGAGAGTGAGGATTCTGTCCTGTAGAGAGAAACTTCCAAAGTGTAGGGATACTAGTGAAGCCAGAATTAGACAGGCAGTCAGTAGAGATAGGTAAATCAAGTCAGGTCAGATGAGTCAGGCCAATTTTGAGTATGTCCTGGGAATTTGGATGTAAATGGATAGATCTGGAGACTCTCTTGCTAAATGAAATAGTCCAATTCCCCCAAACCAAAGCTTGTCCCCTGAGGGATTGAAATGTTAATTCCTTCAGAGCCCTTCCTCCATCCTTATCAAGAATCTGTCCCAGCTCCAACCTGTTGTCAAGGTAACCTGTTCCAGGAATTGCCCCTCCCTACAGGGATCTCTAAGGTTGTTAATGTGTCCTAGGCTGCTCCCTCCTGCCCTTCCCCCTTCAGCCCACCTGTTTCCCATTTTTTTGGCCATCCCACTGAGCATTCCTGGGCCCAGTCACCTGTGGAGGAAGGAGAGAAATAAGAAGAAGAGGGCAGGAGAACAAAGAAAGCCTAGGACACATAAAAGGGCAGAACACCTTGCTTCTTGAGATACCAGTATACCAGTTATGATCCCCTGCTCCCTCCCAGAAGTCTATGTTACCCCTTTTTAAATAAGCCCTGCTTGCTTGCCTCAGCGTGCTTCTCTAATGTTCAAACTTAAACATGTGAGGAAGCAGAACTCATCACCCATAACCAGCGGTATCACTAGGACAGGAAGCTCTGTGATTTTATTATATACATAAGTTAATAAAATATTCCAAATAAATAAACTAGACCTTTTGTAATTAGTTATGTTTAAAAACATGTAGCATAATTCCTAAAGCTCAGCTAAAAGTTGTTGGGTATGTTTTTGTTTTTTTGCTTTATGAGACATTTACATGCAGGTGAGAATATTTAAATATACAGATGTGTTTAAAATTGTGCAAATATTTCTAAAGGATGGCTTCCATTGTTGTTTATTACAGTAAATCAGGACCCTGGGAAACCTTTACTTAAGTAAGGGATTGGGAGAGCCTGTAAGAAAAAGGAATGTGGAAGTTTGAGGAAAAACATAGTCTAACAACATTTCCCTTTGGGCTAAGTGGATAAATTAAAGGTCTGAAAAATAGAAAGAAATAAATGATTAGAACCCATGCTATAACTTAATATTTATCAAGTCAGAAATGCAGCAGAAAATAATTAAAGCAATAGTAAAATATACTAAAATATCCACCTTTTTATCTTGGTTCATTTTTCAAGTGATTCACTTGAGTCTTTATTTGATTGAAATATCTGGTTCTGTTATGCTCAAATTCGGACCCCCCAAAAGACCACCAGAGACCAAGATCAATGTAAGCAGCAAAGAGGTGTTTATTGGGAGCTAGCTCAGTCCTCCATGCGCAAACAGCAACTAGCAACTGGTGATGCTGAGAGGCCCCGAGCCCAGGGTTTGCAGCAGTTTTATACACTCTTTGGGGAAGGCAGGGACTTCACATACATTATAGCATTTCTTAGCAAATCATCACACACCGCGGGAAAATCATAAAACAATTCTAAAATAGGATTAGCACATTCTCTGGCAGGAACAAGTTGGGTAAAGGGTGATTGGTTAGTACAAGAAGGGGATTTATTTGAACTGATTGGTTTAAGCCTCAAGGGGAGTATGTGCTGAACTACATGGTTTCCCAACATGTTATCAACCACCATAAACTACTGGGAGGGTCATCTGGCATCCCAGATATTTTCCCTGTCTCATGATGATTGGTGATTGCTAGGGGGTTGCTGTGGGTCCTTACCTAGGCTGACTGAGTCAGGGACACCTGGAGCAGCAGATCTCTCCTGTTATTTGTAGATAAACAACTCAGCAGGGTGGGTATGTGCCTAGGAGTACTCTGTGGGTCTTTCCAAGGACAAGGGTCATGCCCCCTTCCTTGGACAGGCTTTGCTCTGAGGTAGAGGCTGGTTTTTCAGTTCTTTGGATAACTATTCATTTAGGTAATTTCTGTGTGCCTGAAAAGATTTATTAGATAATTATAAACAACTTTATTAAAATAATTTAATGTACATTTTTGGGGTGGAAATGGTGAATTAAATCCAACTATGTCCATTTGATTATTTTCACTAAAAGTTTAATTAAGCCTTTTTAGAAAAAAAAATTAAAGACAATTAAACTTTTAATTTGTGAAAATAACCAAATATATATAATTGTTTCTCTCTTTATTACCTGTAATCTAGACCCATCCATTTATATACTAATGTTGAACCCCTAATGCATAGAAAAGACCAATGACTCCAATTTTAAATCAAATTAAAGCAAGCTTGTATTTGTGTACATAAATGTTGGCCAGCAACTGTCTCACCCAAAATCCCACTCTAGAGATCAGACCCCAGCTTTCCAGGGACATGGTTTTATAGTACAAAAAGTTGCAAAGGGGGGTGTTTTGAGAACTTACAGATAACAGGATTTTGACAAGCATAATACAAAGGCAGATAGTAGATTAATGATCTACATGGCATAATATTTCAAGGTAGGGAGTAAATTCAGATCCCAACATCAGAATTTATGAGGCACTCCTGAGGTTTCAGAGAGGGTTGTTATCTGGTCAGGGAAAGCCAGGCATGGGTGAGTTCAAGGTACAGGCAGGAATTCCAAACAGGTTTAGAAATCACAATAATTTATACTAAAACAGAAATTAACTTTTCATGACTTTGTGATGAGATGGCTCCCAATCTTAAAATGGAATTAGGTTGGGTTCACCACTAAACCTCAAAATTTATAAACAGGTTAAAACAATGGTCCCTCAATTGTCTCCTGATTCTAAGACATCCCATGCTGGATTTCAATTCCAAGGGCAAACTCCCTAAATAAAAGTGGTGGATATTGAAATTTCCATCTTACATACTCTTTCAATGACTTTAGTTGGAAGTTTCAAGAAAGTCTATGACTTCAAAATAGTATGAAATGCTTATTAAATAAAGGCTGTATTGACTACAGCTGATATTTTTACCCAGTAGCCCTAGGAATAAAAACCTGATATACACCATTAAGAACTGAGAAATGTATGAAGTCATGGGTTAGTAAATATCCTTATTTGAGTATTATTGTGTGTATATGTATTGAATATCAGAGAATACACCATAATTATATTTAAATTTTATGCATCATTTGAAAACAAAAAAGAAATTACAATTTAAATCTATATAGGTAATCACTATAAAATATTCGTAAATTAATGATTCATTAGATATAATTCCAAAAGAGTATTTTGGCTAATAGGTCCTTTTATGTTGTAATCTTTACACCTCTTTAATTATTGTTGCCTTTACTTACATCAGCATATCAAATAGCATATTCTTGAATTCTTCACAAACTTAAAGTGTTATCTTTCACTAAGTGATAAGCAGCTCCAATAGCATGTATTTGCTGAATGAGAGGTAATGGTTTTTACTTCTCCTACATTACATATGGAGAAACTAAGTCAAGAAAAGTTTGCATGATTTATGCAGCATCATAGAGAGTGTTTGGTAAAACTTTTAATAAACCAACTTAAAATATCTCAAAACTCTATTTTAACCATTAGTCTTAATAATGTCTCCAAATGCATATAGTTATCTAAACCCCTGTGTAATTTACACATACTCATACCTCAATCTTCTTTCCTTCCACATATTTTTATTTTCAGCAGAGATTTTACTTTCTTCTGGACATGATACCTTATCTTTTAAATTCCACAGAAGTAATCTTATCTCTGCCATAATATTTTTGTAAACCTTTATTATAACACTAATTACACACTGTGTAGCAATATTTGGTTTATATGCATGTGACCTTTCGGTAATGAGAACTTCTTAAAACTAAGGATTTTACTCTACCCAATATCTGGAACAAGATAACTATACAATATGTTGAATTAATTAACGAATCATATCCATCAAGTTACACTTATGTGAAGTTCAAAGTCATGTTTTGGGGAGTCTAATAGTTTATACGGAGATGTTTGTTACAACTTGGATTTAATGATTGAAGGAAGTTACCATAGTAGAGAGGAATATTTTATGTGAAAGAATAAAATGAAGGGTGTTCAAGAGTGATAAGACTTTTCAAGAGAATCTCCTTCATGAGGTAACTGATGAGGTAGAAAAACATGATCATGATAAAAGTATGAAACTGGTTTTCTAGTTTTTAAGGTAAGGTTCTAATTTGTATGAGGTTCTTAAATTTTGTTTTTTGAGAAACACAAAATCTTGTGTAATACATCCCAGAAGACTTCTTTCACCTGCTGGTTCCTTAGAGTATAGATAAAGGGATTTAGTAAAGGGGCAATTGAGGTATACAGCAAAGCTACACCTTTGGATACAGTCACTCTTTCTTTTGCGGATGGCTTTATATACATAAAGATACAGCTACCATATGTCATGGAGACCACAATCATGTGGGAAGTACAGGTGGAGAAAGCTTTGGTCCTTTGCTGTGCAGAAGGGAATTTCAGAATGGTCCTAACGATGCAAGCATAAGAGAGAATCACTAATACCAATGTGATCGCAAGTGTCAGCACAGCTAAGACTAACGACATCATTTCAAGGACATGTGTGTCTGTGCAAGAGATCAGTAGGATAGGAGATGTTTCACACATAAAGTGATCAATGATTTTGGAAGCACAGAAATCCAGCTTGAGTCCCATGACCAAAGGGGGAAAGATGATTAAGAATCCAGTTGCCCAGGAGCTGAGCACCAGTAGGTAGCACACTCTACTGTTCATAATGACTGGGTAATGCAGAGGTTTGCAGATGGCGACATAGCGGTCATAGGACATGGCAGCCAGGAGGTAAAACTCTGTAACTCCCAGTAAAAGGATAAAAAATAATTGAGCTACACAGTTATTATAAGAAATGGTTTTGTCTCCATTCACAATGGTTATCAAGAATCTGGGAATACACACTGTTGTGAATATGATTTCCAAAAAGGAGAAATTACGGAGAAAGAAATACATGGGAGTCTTGAGGCGGGGATCCAGTAGAGTGAGAAGAATAATTATTAAGTTCCCTGTTAGGCTCAATGAGTAGTTGAGAAATAGAAACAGAAAAATCACAATTTGCAATTGTGGATCATCTGTCAGTCCTAACAGAATGAACTCTATTTCCATTGATTGGTTCTTCATTTCTTTCTTGTGAACCTTATCAAATCTGTATAGGAAAAGAAGCAAAAATTAAATACATATGCATTAGAACACATACAACACACACATATACAAAAGCAGAGATGGATATACATTCTCAAATTTATTCATTTGAATTTTTTTTTTAGCCAGAGTATTAGATGACACAAAATTATATGCTATAGGTTAATTCAAAATATCTTTTAGTCTGCCTTCTTTAATATCCAAATTTTCTCCAGAATTTGAAAGATGTATAATTTTTGTAAATATGCGCTTACTATTTCCAAATGACCTCTTACCTGTACTTATAATTTAAATTATATATTAATTATTTAAAATTAATTTTCCATTACTTTTATCATAACTGCACAAATTGTTCTAAGCTTGTTTGTGTTTTTAGAATGCGTATCACTGATGTTTCAAAATCAGGCTTATATTATAGTTACTGTGATGGTAGTGACTTAGTTCTATAGATTTCTAATACTTGAAAAATCTACTTTTATTGTTTTTTTCTTTAAATATTCTCTACAATAATATTCTATTAGTTTTATCAATTTTTTTGTATTTTTTTAATTTAAGTGAATATTCCTTTACCAGCAATAGGAAAAAAATGATAAAATCGCATAAATTATATATTTTAATAAACAATATTTGGTCCTATTTTTAGATAATCTTATTTATTTATTTTTCAGTTGCAGTGGGACACAATATCTTTATTTTATTCATTTGTTTTTATGTGGTGCTGTGGATTGGAACCCAGGGCCTCATATGTGCTAGGCGAGCGCGCTACTGCTGAGCCACAGCCCCAGCCCTAGATAATCTTTTGAAACATCCTCTTTTACATATTTATGTGATTTGGGTGCTTTGTTTTACTTCCACCATATTATTTACAACACTTTTGAATATGAAGAAGAGAATAATATTTCTTAACCTTTTTACATATAGGAATTCTATTTAATTCTATATTATTCTATTCCTCTGTTTGATTAAATATGTCCATCTACTTCATTATATGCATCATTTGTGGACTTTTAAAAGAAATGGGTTACTAAAATCCTGCGTTTTATCTTTATTTTTTTTTGCCTTTGTTTTATTACTATTGCTTTTCTTTCCATGTATCAACATTGCTTTTCTTTTATAAACTAATATGGACAAAACACTAGTATTTTTCATGCATAATGTTATTTTCTGAAACAGATATTAATGAGTAGTTTTAATAATTTTTCATAAAAACTAAACACCTGTATTCTTCACCAACTAAGTGGTCACAGACTTTTACCAAAATATTGCATATTTCTGTCATTGCTATATCTAAGATTCCCATTTTTGCCCTGTTCTGATTTTCAAGCTTTTCTAGGAGTTAGTCCAATAATTTCTGAAACACGTTTTTCTAATAGAGTGTTCTAGATCCATGCCATGTCAAATTCTAAGGAAGAATTGCTCCATATTTTTTCCTACATCACTTCATCCATGCAAATAATTCATTAAAAATGGCAGAGAAAGAAAATAAAACAGAATCAACAGTATGTGAATAAAATAGATATTACTTGTCAGTATATAAAGTTGGGAGTTACCCCTTATTCATTTGCTTTGCTTTCTGATTTTGAAATTAAGTTAAAATTATAGTGGACTTACCTTTATTGAGCTACAGTGCAGTTTGAGCTAAAATTCATTCCCTTCTGTGACAATTAAATTTGTTTATATAATAATATTTTATTATCCAATAAGATTTATTACCAATGAGTTTTGTGGAAAGAGGCAAAGTAAAGAATTTCCACCTTTCCTCAAATTCACATGCATTTGGAAACTTGGGAGTTTGATGTCAATAATTTTAAGAAGCACTTAGCTTCCCTTCCAGATATGATTAACTTTTGAAATTTTGTTCTCATAATTGAGATTGCTATTATTCAAAACCTCAATTGGATACATGCTCTTTGAAATGAAATAAAAACTGGGAAATATAAAATCACTGTTGAAATATAAATAACTCTTCCAAGAAAGAGATACAATGTTACAGTAACATCATTTTCTACTTACTATAAACTCCAGGGAATCTCTTAAAATAAAACTAAAACAAACTCTTCTCTGGGGACCAGTGTTACAAAAGTACTCATTATTGTCAATAAAATGCCCCCCTGTAGTTTAAGTAAAAAATGAAGAGAAAGTATCCCTGAGGAGTATCATAAATGATTAGGAAAAATCAACAAAATATTTAATAGGAACACCAAAAATTCACTGTCTGGGGCAACTATGGAAAATCCCAAAGTAATTTACACATGCAATTGAATGAAACACCCACATTTAAAAGCATGAATGGATCTTAAAACTAGTATACTGAGTGAAAAAAACAGACATAAATTAGTTTTATAATCATACAAATATAATTCCATTTATATTATTCTGGAAAAGACTGGACTATGAGGACAGAAATATAATTAGGGAGTAGTTCCTTGGGCTGAAGGTAGGAATTGTCTAGAGAAGTATCATGAGAGAACATTTTGAGGTGACAGAAATATTTTATATTTTGATTTTGGCAGTGGTTGCATAATTTCATGTTTGTCAAAGTTCATCCAACCATATACCCACAAAAGATGAAACTTGTCATTAATTCAAGATCAATCATCTTTCCAACAAAATCATTTATATATAATGTATCTCTTTATTTTATTTTTATTTGTGATGCTAAGGATTGAACCCAGTGCTTCCTTCACACGTGCTAGGCAAACACTCTGCCACTGAGCCACAATCCCAGCTCTTAATATGTCTTATTTTTAACCTGGTGTTTGAAAGACAACTTAGGACAATACTGCCTAAAAAATGAGCTATTAGCCATTTTTGGAAGGATGTATATTTTTAATTCAAGTTAAATATTCAGTTTCTAAGTCATACCAATTACATTTCAACTAATAAATATATACAGTAACAATAAAAATGTAATTGGAATTTTGATAGGGTTACATCAACTTTGTAAATCATGATGGGTTAGTATGGATATTTTAAATAACAAATTAACTAATCCATGGACTTGGGATGTTTTTCATTTACTTATATTCCTAACTTTGTTTTATCAATGGTTTAAAGTTTTCAGTGCCCAAGGCTACCAACTTTTATTCATTTTATTATTATGAATACATTTCTTTCTTAATTTTCTTTTCAAATTTATCTTTAGTATTTTTATCCCAGCCCAAAGATATTTTTCTTGAGAAATTTATTTACACTAGATTGCATAACATGATCAACATCATCAGATTAATTCATTTTTGATGTCTCATTGTAAAAGACAAAGATGCATGTTGTTAACTTTCCTTTTCTGTGACCAAAGTACCCTACAAAAACAAATTACAGGAGGGAATTGTTTGAGGCTCATGGTTTCAGAAGCCTTGGACTACACATGGACAACTCCATTGCTCTCATAGGAGAAGAGCACAGGGGAGGAAAGTTTCTCAGATCATAGCAGGGTTAGGAAGTAGGAGAGGGTTGCATAAGGAAAATACACACTTCCAGGGCCTGCCTCCAGTGACCCATCCCTTCCAGTCATGCACCACCTGCCTACAATAGCCACCCAGTCCATTCAAACTAGGATGGACTAATTGTTACAGCTCTTACAATCCAATCATTTCACCTCTGAAAATTCCAGTAATTCCAATAATAAATGTTGAAATTATATCTTCTCAAATAATGAAAAATTAGCCATCCCTTTGAACATTTCTAGCTATGTATTAATTGTGGGGTTCAGAATAATACTTTAATACATGTATGCAGTGTTTGCTAATCACAGCTGGACTCGTTTTCTCACTCTCCCTGTACACCAACCCTTGCCAGCCTCTGCTAATCACTGTTCTGCATTCAAGTTAACTTTCTTGGTTTCTACATCTGAGAGAGAACATGTGGTACTTCTCTTTCTGTGTCTGACTTATACCTCCTAACATAACATCCATTATTTACATCCATTTTTCTGTAAAAGACAAGATTCTATCCTTTTATGCCCAACTAATATTTGATTGTGTTTATACCATGTTTTCTTTATCTATTGATCCCCTGATAGGCAACTTAGTTGATTCTATATCTTAGATATTGTGAGTAGTACCACAATAAACCTGGGAGTAGCATGTCTCTTTCCTGTGCCAATTTTATTTCCTTTGAATACATAACCAGGAGTGTGAAGAAGTGTGACAACTGGACCATATGGCAACCTATTTTTAGTTTTTTTGAAGCAACCACCATGCTATTTTCTCAAATTGCTTTACTAATAATGTACAATCTCACCAACAGTGTATAGGTTTCCCTTTCCTCTATCTTTAACAAAACTTGTTATCATTCATCTTTCATATAACAGGCATTCAAAATTTTGTGAGGTGATATCTTATTGTGGTTTTAACTTTAGTTTCCCTGATGTTTAGAGATGCCTAGCATGTTTTCACAAACTTGTTTGCCCTTTGCTTTTCTTTCTTAAAGAATGCCTGTTCTGATTCTTTGCCAATTTCTTAATCTAATTACTTTTTTTTTTTTTGCTCCTGAGTTGATTTTGTTCCTTATACATTTCAGATATTCCTCCTTTGTCAAATGCATGATTTGCAGATATTTTCTCCCAGTCCATGGTTGTCTCTTCACTATTAATTGTCTCCTTGACTAAACAGAATATGTTTAGCTTGCTGTCATCCCATTTGGTCTACTCTTGCTTGTTCTGCCTGTGTTTTGAGAGTTGTTTCCAATAACTCATTGTCCAAAGCAATGCCCTGAGCTCATTCCTTGCTTTCCTCTAGCAAGTCAACAGTCGTAGTTCTTATATTTAAGTCTTTTATCTATTTTGTGTAGTTTTGTTTAGAAGCCCAACTTTACTGTGTGAGATGAAAGTTCAACTTTTCCCTTCTGTATGTGAATATTCAGTTTCTTCAACAGTATTTATTAAAAAGAATGTTATTTCTCTGTTGTGTGTTCATGGAAACTTTGTTAAAAATAAACTAATTTGGGTTTTATATCTGAGCTTTTTATCCTCTTCCATTTGT